TTTTCATCCTCTTGGACTCTCCTTCTCCTTTTTAGTAATGTTTTTAATTAATGTTTTATGTGTTTATGGATATTTATGTTTTTAATGTTTGTTGTGAATCGCCCAGAGTTCCCCCATTGAGGGGAGATGGACGGTTGAAAAATTAGGTAAATAAATAAAATAAAAACTATCCTCAGATAGTGAAGAAACTAATTCGTGGTACCATATTGATATCTCTCAAAATCATGTATCAGTCTGGTGGATTGCCAGACAACTGGAAGACAGCAAAAGTTGTCCTTATCTTCAGAAAGGGGGGAAGGTAGATCCAGCAACTACAAACCAAACAGCCTGGCAATTATACCCAAGATTATAGAGTAGACAAGGAAGGGATTGCTCCTAGAAACAATGTGGCAATTACCAGAAGTCAGAGATACGTCAAGAACAAATCTAGCCAAGCTAACCTTAGTTGCTAGAATGCTATAGACGTCAAATGCTTTGCTGAAGTTAAGGAATATTACAACCACCCTGTAATATGCTGATTAGCAAGCTAGCTAAGTGTGGGTTAGATGGCATAATAATTAAATGGATACAAAGCTTAAAGAGTACTAAACAGTTGGAGAGTGATTTAGTGTGGGGTGCCAAAAAGATAGGTCAGGAGTTCTCATTCTTCATATTTTTATTTATGACTTTTTTTTAGTGGATACAATGCTCATTTAATTTGCAGATGACACAAAACTGACAGATGACAGTGGAACCAATTAACCAAACAGGTAATAGGTTTCTTTTCATTGGGTGTGCTTGAGCAGGCATCTGTACAAAGTACTTTAATTTGGATTTCTACACTCAGCAGAGAGTTGGATTGGTGGCCTAAATGGGCCCTTTAAATTATTATTTAATTACTATATTCTTTTTATTACTGTGCAGAGTAAATATATATATATTCAAAGAATAAAACATTACTTAATTTTATGTTAATGGCAGTAAGGTTTGGTTTATCAAAATTTTGGAGGGTGAAGGAACCCATATATAAAAGAATGTTTGATAAAAGCTCAGTTAATCCAAATTTGATAGAGATGTTATAGACAAGGAAACAGAATACAAGTAGTCCTCGAGTTATGATTGCAATTGGGACCATAATTTCCCATTTTTCACTAATTGAATAATTTCTAGTATCTCCTGAATTGACAGAGGCACTTCCAAAATATCAGTACTATCTTGTGATAATGGTTGAATGTTAATTTGTCACAAACATTGATTAGTCATATTGATCAGCCTACTCCTTCAATTTATATAATGACTTATAAAATTGAAAAACTCTATTAATGGATTCAGAGTTCATTAATCTCTAACTACTCTCTGTTACAGTGGTGAGATTGGGTAGGGTGTAAAAGGTAGCATGTTTTTATGGTGGCATCCACAGAACAATATTCAGAGTACATCTATCTTGACATACTTCAGAGAGACCTTAAAAATGAAGCCCCTCATTTAGAAGGCACTTGGAGGTTAATGGTTTATGAGTAATCATGGTGGGACTATAGTTTTATCATTATTATGTTGATTGTGGTTTTATTTTATTTTTTTGTGGCTATGATGTAAACAACAGGGAGTCAGTTGAGGCTGGTGGTATACAAATTAAATAAATAGCTATCAGATGACAAATTTATATTTACATCCAGAATTGTGCTTAACAAATTGATAATGGACATTTCCTTTGGTAACAGCTACAGAAATGCCTATAATACATTTCTAAAATAAGCTACTATTTCTAAATATATTCTGAAATACCTATCATTTATGTGAGTCTAATTAACACTTCAGGCTGATTACAGGGTAATGCATGCATATTTTGGGAATTGCTAGTTTCCCTCCCCACATGCTTCCTTCTCAGTATCATTACAACTTCTTCTTCTCTTTCTTTTTCTCTCCATACCCTCTAATGTATTTATCATTCAGTGCTGATGTTTTAATATTGAAATGTTCTCTAAGAGAAAATTGATTTTGGAAAAGCACTCATTTTAACAGAAATGAATCATCCAGAAAAAATTGAGAGAATTATTTATTAAA